AGAGAGAGAGAGAGAGAGAGAGAGAGAGATATTACTTGGTCATTGAAAATTTAAATGTTGACCAGATTTGTTGTGATTCAACGGCATAGGTTTATGAAATTTGAGGATAGAAAGAGGGCTCTTGTTAGCAGAATGCTTCAATATGGTCTTGTGCACAAAGTGTTAGGCATTCCCTACAAGGACGTAATCATAAGGCGCACTGTTGAGGGAAAACCATCTCTGGTATGACCTCCTTGTATAAAATTCACACTATATTGTAGCTGGAGATTCATTCATAAAAACAAAAGGTCCTAAAACTGGTTAGTTTATCTGATTATTTCTTTTGGTATGGTATACTACCATACCATTTATTTTTTTGTACAAAAAGGTAGTAACTTTTCTTGATGTGCCATCCAATTTCACATCCAATAGTTGACAATGATTATGACTATTAAAATGAAACGGGATTGTCTACAAAGAGTCCATTTATTTTTTGTATACGGAGGTCACAATTATTTTTTTCTCCTAAATTTCAAATTAGGTGGTTGTAAGATTGTCATTCAATAAATACAAAGTTCTCAAAAAAAAAAATTATCGGACTTGGTGACTCATCCCAAGCCATTATATTTGACATCTAATGAGTGTGAATGATTGTGACCTTTATGTATAAAAAAATAAATGGTCTCTATGTAAACAATCCCAAAGTAAATAGTCTCATCATATATATTTCCATTTCTAAAACCGTTGCATTCAAAAACGAAATTTGAGAAGCATTCAAGGTGGGATTTGCTAGTTATTGAATCTTCTTCATCTTGCTTGGTTTTTGCAATAATTTGCATTTAACCTTAAGTGATTCTTAGCGAGATTAGGTTGTGTTTTTTTGCAACTTTCAAGTGTGACTGCTATTTTTGCTGAAAGTGTAACAGTAATCTTTTTGGAAACCATTGTCGATTGGTGTCATTGCCATCTACTGAAATGATGTTTTCTGAAAGTGAAATGGGGCCTGCCAGATTGGGACATGTTGTATTCCACTCTATATCTGCATGACCATCCATAGTGTTGTCCGACAATGATGATCATTATGGTTTCAAAAGTCCGAAGTGCTGTAGAATGCTGTCTTTCAGCAAAGATTTTATTATAAATGAAAGAGTTCACATTTGGATGACAGTGTTATGCTATATTTACACAGAAGTAAGGTGTTTTTGGTGCAATTGTGATGTGAATTTCCCACGATCATAAGAGGCTTAATGGAACTTCCATTCTACCACTAACCAACTTTTGTAAAATGAAACTAATCAAAGAAAATTTACGAGTGGGCAGAACCATATAACTGTGGCCTAAAATCGCATACACCGGAGTCGATTCAAATTTGATGGCGGATCGCTATGAACGCTGAAATGGTGTTCTTGGATCCAAGGTGTTGCTATGATGAAAACTATAGTGGATTACCTGGGGATGATTTGGTTATAATTAGCATATTCATCTATTAAAATATCCAACAATAGAATGCATGTCTCCCTTCCCTCTCATATTGTTGTGTGATTGTATTTACATTCTCATTTATGTTTGTCACATATAATGTCTGATCTTTTAGTTATCTTGCTTGTTTGCAGGAACACAACCATGAAAACTTTGAGTTTCCAAATTTTAACTTCAACGCATCACACCATGGGGACTATGTGGCTATTGCTTCTGAGCCCCTATGCATTGTTGGTATCGATATTGTCTCCCATGATACTCCAAAATATGAAGATGCCTTGGACTTCATCGCAAATTTCTCCTCACATCTTACCAGTTTGGAATGGAAGAACATTATGAATGCTGGTAGTACAACTGAAATGATGGCAGAGTTTTACAGGTACCCAAAGTTTTCAGTTCATGTACAATTATACAAAGAACTTGGTCCAGTATGATTGGCTCTGCATGTGTGTGCTCACATGCATGCATATGTATGTGCATATACATACATATATACATACATATGTGTTTGTATGTATGTATGTATAATTGATGGGTCTTATCAGTTGGTGCCTCCCAATGTTGAAGTACTCTGCAAATTAAACTTTTGCAGTCCAATAGCAACTATAGAGATACACACAAAATAGCTAATCTATATATAAATGAAAGAAAAAGGTTTAAGAGATCTCTCATTTGAGACATGGTATTGTAGGTATTGGTGTCTAAAGGAAGCATATATTAAGGCTATAGGGATTGGTCTTGGTTATGATTTGAGTAGATTGGAGTTCTATCGCACAGACTCAGGTAAAATTCGTGTCCGAGTTGACGGGGAGGATTCAGAAGAATGGCGGTTTTGGTTATGTGAGTTGGATATAAGGCACTTTGTAAGTTCGTTTCCCTGTGAATACTGTATGCTGTAGAACTTGAGAGCGAGAGAGAGAGGTGCATTATTTTCCTACCGTTTCGTATGCTTTTGTCGATGGGCAGGTTTGTGTTGCTAGGGGCAATCCCAAGAGGGCGGTGGAGAGTTACAAAAGAACCTTATGCAAGACTGATTTCGACGAAAGCGAATATAGATCTGCCCTGAACATCCCAAACAAGGATTTTGTTCTTTGTGATATTAGAGAATTCATTCCAGAATCCAGAAGAGGAGAGTTTGATAGCATTAATAATGGAGGAGGGTCTTAATGATTTTGAGAAATTGGCCTCTCTCTTCTATTTGTGAATATTGTAAATAGTGCATTGCTTCTTATCTTGTCTATTTTTCAGTAAAAAAAAGGCATTTTCATATGCATTTCATGGCTGCATTTTAGTCCTATTGAATGGATGGTTCAAATTTCTTGCAAGCAGGTGCAATTGGTAATTCCAAACAAGGGTACCTAATGAATTGCTTCTTCCTATGTCATTCATCAATAAATGTTGGGATTTCGAATTGGATTTCATAGTTCTTTTGGGATTATGTTTTATGAGGTCATTTACTTTTGATACAAGGAAGTCATAGTCATTTTTATCTAATGGATGTCAAATCTAATATATTAGAGTATCTCACAACATTCGAAAAATTTACTTTTGACTTTGGGACCAATCAATGACACATATTCAACAATCTGGTTTTACATCTGATTATCAATAATGAATGTGACATCCTTGTATTGTATCACAAATAAATGATCTCATTGTCTACATTTCCATCCTTTTAGAGCCTTTTTTAACTAAGTCTTGAGAAGTAGAGTTGGCAATGAGCTAGTCAGGGCAATCTGACTAAGTCATTGGTGTATGGTCTCATATGTCTTTCGTAACTATATTTCCTTATAATTAGAGTTGGCAATGGGCTGGTCACGGCAATCTAGCTTGAAAAACTAGGGCTTATACCAAAAAATGTGGCCCAATAAGGCTGGGCGTGGACCAAAGCCATAATATGGCTGGCCTTGTATTTATCGTTGTTTCTTTTTTAGCCTTGGTTAGACTAAGCCCTGGCCCCTTTGGATGGGTCAGGCTAGGGCCAACCCTATTGGGACCTGAGCCAAGACCAGCCTAGCCCAAGCCCAACCCATTGCCAACCCTACCTAGGGTCTCAATATTACAACTCCCCTTTGACTATGCACATGATCTTCAAATTATTGCAAGCTCAACCAAATAAATCCACCGCATCATGAAATCACAACTGCTCACTCTCACACAAATTCACACCGACAAAAGTCGTATCATTGAGCAAGCTTCTCTTCAAACGCAAGCCAATCTTCATAAACCCAAATACATTCTCCTATTACACCGGGTAATGAAAACAAATATGTTGGGAGCAAGGTTTAAAAAAAAGGATTGTGACATGGAGGCATTAATCCCACATCGAACCTAGATGGTATAAAAGTGTCACGAAGCATATGATAAGTTCCCACGTGGCTATAAGTTTGGAGCAGTGGGTTTGCTATAATGAGCTCTCAAGTCAAATATTTAAAGGGTTTTGTTGGTGTAGATCTTTAAAGTGCTTAATATTTTTAGACATTTAGATACCTTTATCTTATAATATAGTAATTTTTTATTATAAGATATTTTAAATAATTAATCAAAGATAAACTAGAAATTTTTAATAAAAACAAAAACATTTATCCACAACAGTGGACAATGACATTTGTTTAGAGATATTTTAAATAATTAATCAAATATAAACTAAAATTTTTTAATAGAAACAAAAACATTTATTCACAATAGTGGACAAGGACAGCACTAATATGGTGTGTGACATCACTTATAAGAACTACTATTTTCTTATACCCTTCTAAGAACCACTATTTTCTTATACCTTTCTAAATGACCAAAAATGCCTTTACTTGAAAAATTTTGTATTATAATTCAAAGATATTTTAATGTCAAAAAATATTAAGCACTTTAAGGAACAAAACCAATATTTAAAAACAATGTGGGATGAGAGCAGATAGTTTAATGTCAAAAAATATTAGGCACTTTAAAGATCTACACCACCAAATGATATTGCTTAATAAAACCCATATTTAAAAGCAATGTGGGACGAGAGCTAAAAAGTTGCAAACGTTATATTGAAAATTGTCACCATGTGAATTGGTGACGTGCCAATATGGTTTTTTTGATAGAACCGGTTGGTTTGACTTAAAAAAAAAAATCATTCGAATCTCGATATATAAAAGGATCCAGATCGTTGTAAAACACGTCATTTGGCTCGCTAACATGTCATCCGTTTAGGATCAGGATCGATGAACCACGTCATTGGTTCACTGACACATCATCAGTTCACATACTGACAATGTTCAATTTAAAATTTGCAGCTTTTAAAATTATAAAAAATAAACATCATTGTGGGCCCACTTGTAATCACTTGGGAGTTGGGACACTTATCATATGGTCAATGACATTTATCTCTCTCTAACAATCTCTCTCCTTATATATCTTTCTCTCTACAAATTAATTCCCCCGTGGCCTCTCTCTCCCCCTAACAACCTATTTCTCTCTCTCCTTGGCATCCACTCACTCTATGTAGATTTATCTATCTATAAAATAATTCCACGATTATTTATTTCATATAGCTTTTTTCTCTCTACAAAATTCTACAATTAATTAAAAAATAATTATCATTTGTAGAGAAAAAAAGAAAGAAAGAAAGATTGACGCAGTATAAAATCTACTGGCAAACACCACCAATAAAAATAAGAGAAATAAAAATCAGTAAGGAAATTTAAATTCCACTAAATGGAAACTTTTTTCCTTTAAATTTGTTTCATATTGCTTCTTTCAAAAATCAAAACTCCTACGTTAATATAATAATACAATAAATAAATTGCCTTAGAGAGATTCATTCATTGTCATGTTATACTTTAAACTTTGTTTTGATTATAAAATAAAAAGATTGTATACAACGAGACCATTTACCTTTGATACAAGGTGGTCACAATTCTTTACTACTGTTTGATGTGAACTTTGATAGCTTGGATCTGTTACAAAGTTCGAAAAAAATTCTTTTGAAGTTTGAGCTTGGTCAATGGAATAATTGCAGCCACCCAATTTCAAATCCAATAGTCAAGATTAATGTGACCATCTTATATCAAATGTAAATGACCTCATTTTATACTTTCCCTAAAATAAATTTAATGGACAATAAACACTCAACATAAGACATGTTCTAAGTATTTATATATTTTTGACATAATAATGAAAAATCATACTGCAATTGTCACTATTTCTGTTAAAAACCTAAAAAACTAGATTTTTGAGAAATTATAATATTTGTTTCGGATCGTTGATCTACCGGTCTGACATGGTTTTTGGGATGGCAGATCGGAGTCACCAATCCGTTTTTTTAAATCTTGTTATGAACGATTTCTGATCCGAATCGAATGGTTTTGATCCTAATCGTAATTGGGAGAGTCTCGTCCCATTTGGCAAGGATCTCCATGCAATTTATCCAATTGATGGGGGCTTATAATGGGACATCCATTAGTGACTCCGTAAGACAAGTCATTGGATGGGGTTTGGAACCTCAACGTGAGGTTAGGGTGTTTGATGGTGTAGGTCTTTTCCTAATAAAATTAATGGACTAATGACATGAGGTTAGGGTGTTTGATGGTGTAGGTCTTTTCCAAATAAAATTAATGGACTAATAATAAGTTTAGTTACTAATGGGCTAAACGTGTCATTAGTCTACTATTGTTGCACTTAATTTTTTTAAGTGCGGCAATTATGATTATTAAGTTGTCACCAACTGTTAATCCTATGTAATGAACTAAATCTGTCATTAAGTGTAGGCTAGTGTTTCAGTCTCAAAAAAAAAAATGTAGGGTAGTGTGAGTCATTAGTGGACTAATGACATGTTTAGCTCATTACATAGGATTAACAATTTGGTGACAACTTGTGAATCTTAATTATTGCACTTAAAGGAATTAAGACAGGAGTTATACTTGGATCTCAACTCCTATAGATAATGAATGTAAGAGTTACAAATAAAAATGGTTCTCTATAAAAAAAAATTTGGGAAGGATGAAAATGAGACATTCAAGGTGAATAAGACTCACCAAAGAGGACTAACAAGGTTGCCTCTCACTGTATAGCTCGGACAATAGGATTTGACATGGAATTTTAAGTCCCTCATGTGATTTAAGGATAGATCCAAGTAAGTTGTTTATCAATTTTATTTATATAAAGAAAGTTCCTTTGGGTAGATATAGATCATCTTCCAGAAAGAAAATATGAAAGAGAGCCAATGTTGAGGGGGAGTGTTAAGAGTCATCACTGACTCTCATACGTGTTGGAGGAGCCGGACTAGCAAAAGCAACGGAAGCTGCACAAAATCAGACAATTTTGGTCTCGAGTACCAACTAAAAAATAACGTATAGTTAGGGTTATTGTATGTGAATTTCATATCATTTATAGTTAGAAAAAGTTTATTTAAGGTTACAACTTTACAATTTGGAACTAAGATGCACATCTAAAATCTATCGTAAAAGGTTGTTTTGGTTATTGTATGTGAATTTCATATCATTTATAGTTGGAAAAAGTTTATAAAAGGTTACAACCTTAAAATGTAGAATAAAGATGCACATCTAAAATCTATCATAAAAGGTTGTTTTGATGTTGAAAAACCCTCTACTTGATCATCTTGATATCGAGATGTATGAATATGAAAAGAAAAAAAGATTTTGAATTCTAAAAATAGTGTGTCTTGCAACACATTATTTGGACCGTTTATTTTCTAGATTTTCAAGTGTTTATAGATCAACTTGATTTGAGCCATTTTTAGAGTTCAAGATTTCATAATTAGATATGAAAGTAAATTCTCAAGTCATCCTAATAATGTTTTACACCAAAATCATATTTATGGTAAAATTTGAAGGTGTATCTTAGTTTGATTGTTTGAGGTTGCAACTTTATATACTTGTAAAAAAAAAAAAAAAAAGTTGCAACCTTATATGAACTCCACCCTTTATAGTTTCCTATTTTATGGGATAGGTTAAAGATTTATGAAATTAATTAGATGACATGTTTTTTTTTCCTTTGTTTCTTTTTTTTAAAGATGAAACATTTGGGTGAGAACAATGGCTCACCAATTAGGGAGGTGGTTCGATATGATCGAAGTTGGTTAGTCAAGTGGACCACATATATTAGAAAGATAATATTAAAATTTCTGTTTTTATGTAAATGAAGTAGCTAGGGAATCACATTAAAAAAAAAATAAAAATAAAAACAATGGCACCTAGGGAATCTTCAAGGTATTAGAAACCTCTTAGATGCTGCATGGGTCTCACCTTCATTTATCATTAAAAAAAGGAAAAACAAAATTGAAGCGATGCCCTCTGTGTCTCTAGGCCTCTGTGGTCTTGTTTCGTCTGTTATGTGAGTTGTATTAATTTCAGTGTTTGATGTGTGTTTTCATGTTTTTTT